AAGGAGAATGTGTAAATGGCTGGAGCTGTTTTCCCTATTTTATTTGTAATCAGGATAGTGAGGCTAGTGTTAATGGCACTTCATCCAGCCAGCTGCTAACCCGGTCAGTTCTTATCAGTTATGACAAAACACAATTACATTAATGGGTCAAAAGTTACCCTTTTAAGAATACAGACTTCTCAGCCAAGGTGTTATTTTTTTTTTCCCCATGAACCCTTGACCCAGGAGAATACTGGTAAGACTTTCATTACGTGACCAGTTTCTGGTGACAACTACAACCAGTGAGTGTTTGGGAGATATATTCTATTCTGCTGGGTCTTGTCAATGAATCCTGTAATAGACTTGCTTGATCAACCACTCTTTCTTCCCAGATCTTTTTCAACGAGGACTAGCTATGCAAAGAAAAAAAAAAGTGACATGTTCAGGTGTTCCTATAAAATGGCTGACTGGGTGAAATTACTTTAATCCTATGCATGACTGGCTTTGTTTTAATTAAATTTAATCCCCTTGAGATTAGTTGATTGGGTTGTAATTCAAATAAGCATTTTCGGATGTTCTCCAATCCACTAACCCCTCACTGATCTAGTTAAGAGTACCTTAGGAGTAGGTCCAGTGACTTTCAAATTAGGTCAGTATTCAAATTCTGAATTATCCTACTTCAGACACATTGTGCAAAGATCTAGCTCTCTGGAGAAGACTGTAATGGTGGGAAAGGTGGAAGGAAAGAAGAAGATACGACCAGCAGCAAGGTGGGTGGACTCGGTTACAGTGGCAATGAGTGCACCGTTGGGAGACCTGAAAGACCAGGTTAGGGACAGTTCTTTATGGAGAAAATCTATCTGTGTGGTCACTTTTGTTGACCCCAATTTGATGACATATAATCAATCAATCCAAGTTCTGACTAAATTAAATACAAAGGGAAATTAACTGGCAGACAGTGTTATAATAATCCAACAGCTGAAACTAAAATAATGTATTATAACTGGTTAAAAAACTTTGCACCAAAACTTGCAGTATTTACTTATTTGGGGATACTGTTGCTGTGTAGAATAACTGAACTGCCTCTTATTTGGCTTTTCTTTTCTTTCTTTTTTTTGGTAGGAGTGGAATGAATATATCCATAGCCATATATATATCCATATACATTTCAAGAGACATTTCCTGCACAGAATGACTTGCTGATCAGAAATACCTTTGCCATCAGTGTGGCCCGGCATTGGGCAACAATTATATAAGTCTATATTTTTATTAAAGTTTTTAATTTTTTAAAATTTAGATTAATAATTATCTCCCTTCCAGTTCCTGCATTTCTGAAGAAAAAAAATCTATAGAATAAAAGCTTGAACCCAAGGTCACGATGCCATGAACAATTAGCTGGATCTCCAAAAAGCAGGATAAAAGAATCAGCTGGCATAAAGGGTAAAGCAGGGTGACTAAGTATTTGCTTTTCAACTATAAATAATCATTGATCTTGTTTAAAACCTGCTACTGTTATTAGGACAAATTAGTGGTTAGGATGGCGGTAGCTGAAGTTTTTTCGCTTTAGTAAGGTTTTCTGCTTTTCATTTTCTTCCAAATGTTTAAGCTGAAGTATCTGTTTTTGATGGTAGCATCAAGTTTTTGCAATTCTAGCACCACCTCACTCCAGGGTAGCTGTAAGAAGGCAGAATTGATTTATAAGCAATTGCATTCTGGCACATTAATTCTGAATGCTTTACACTGTGCAGTTTGTACTATTTAATATAGCTAACTCAGACTAGGATTCCCTGTTTTAGCTTATATGGTCATTTGTCTATAAGAGCTTGTTCGCAACATGTCCTTTATTATTTATTTATTTATTTATGCTTATTTTCACCAATATTTTTGTGACTGTCATTTTTTCCTATGGGGTCAGATAAAATGTTGCACGCAATTACAGTGGGAAAGAGGAGGGAACTTATCCATCAATTTCACCAGTACTTACTATTTTTTTTCCCCATAAAAAAAGATAGGATTGTAAGGAAGGACAAACTATGTTTGATAATATCCCCTTTCAAGCTTGAGGATCTGAATTACATCCCGGAGCGGAGGAACAAATGTAATGAGTTATCCATTTAGCAGAACTAGAAATAAGAGTTTCAAGAACCATATTCACCAACAAAAAAAATCCAGTAAGGTTCCCGCCAAAGAAGAACAGTGAGATAAAAATAACGCAGATGGACCAAAGCACTGGCAGTGCCCAGCTTCACCACTTTGTCAACCTACAGTTGAAACCGATCCTGGGGATTCAATCTCTCCATAAACATACATGTGTGACTATGAAGGGGGAGGTGGTGTGATGGAATGCAGTAGAGATCCAGGTTCTCCACTTTGTCAACCTACAGTTGAAACCGATCCTGGGGATTCAATCTCTCCATAAACATACATGTGTGACTATGAAGGGGGAGGTGGTGTGATGGAATGCAGTAGAGATCCAGGTTCTCAGGAAAGAGGGAGCACATTCTAGGAAGGAAAAAGGGGAGACAAGAGGCAACATAGTTCAGAGCAGGAGCGTGGGAAGAGATTTAAGATAGCCACTCCCTAGATTGTCCCAGAGTATATCTATTAGGTTAGCATAGTACAGATTTA